CCTTATCACACTTTCACAAGCTTTCTCTCTGAAAATGGAAAAAAAGAAAAGGGGTGGTGGTGGGGGGGGAGAGCCTGTTAGGACTTGTGCCAGTTAAATCCGATCTCTCCGGGGATTTGTTTTTCTTCTGGCGTCAGATTAGATGTTCACATCAAGCAGTGTTTGGAGGACTGCAAGGGAATGTCCATGGGATTCTTAGTGAGGATAATCCTGAAGCAGCGGCACATTCCAAGGGGCTAATCTGCCCAAGTTCATTGCTTACTTGAAACGTCTCTTGGGGGAAGAGCCGGGCAAGTGACTTTTTTTTTCAGTGGGCGGTCATAAGAGCATTATTAACGGGATGACCAGCCCCGGCCACAGCAAAATGAAAGCAACAGGAGCCGCTCCAGGGACTGCCGTTGCCACCAGCCAGAGTCAGTGCACAGGTAAAATGACTTCAGCTTAACTTTTCTCTTGTTTAACTTCTCAGCATTGGAGCTGGGGACCTAGAGAAAGACCAAATAGACAACCAGAGAGTTGTTGAGGGAAAGCAAAAGGTGCAAATGGACATATGTGTTCAGTCCCTTTGGGTCTTGGAATTTTGCTGTAATTAAGACAGAGTGTCTATCTGAAATAGAAAAATGTGAACATGAGGAATGTGGTAAAGTCTTCCTTGTAATTTGTTTCTATAAAGTTAATGTACTTAAAAAAAAAACAAAAAACTTGTGGTTACTGGTCTGGGTTATTGTCCCTCTGCTATATTGCTCTGCTAAAAAATGGATTGCAGTTGCTTTCTGATGGGTTTCATACATTCCCTGTGTGTGTACTCATAAACTACTCCCTCGCAGAGAAGGTCTGGTTTGTAGCTAGCCAGGACTGCACAGAAAGAAGATTCAAAGTAGTCTAAAGTTGGGGTCTAAAGTTGTTGGCAAAGCCTTTGTGAAAGAATTGAAACTTTCTTAAATGAAATTATTCAAGTTTTCTTCTTCTTCTTTTTAAGGCAATATTTACAACCTTCTTGTTTGGGTTTTGATCATTTTGTTGCTTTATTGATTGCACACTTCGTTTTCAAAATTTGAACTTGTTTTATTCTCTGAGGGTAATTATTATACTGTGTTCAAAAATGTGAGTGTTCTCATTTTTGTTCTGAATAAGATGTCCTTTAATTATTAGCCTTTGAAAAACACTTCCCTATAACACATCACACATGACTGATAATGCAGAAAGACAAGAAGAAAATAGCCCTTCACAGACTCAGCCATAGTTATGTGACCATTCTACCTCTGGAAAAGAGTGTACAAAAGTGATTTTTCTGAGGGTTGATAGAAGCCATCTTTTCTAAGAGAACCTGAGCCCTCCAAAGCATATTAAAGGAAAAGATGTTCAGACAAACTGGCCATTGATGTCTTGCATTAGAAGAGAATTACAAGGTCAGTTAGAAACACAGTGTGTCAAAATTATTTCATACCTTCTAACAACTAGGATAATCATTGCGGCTAACTTTAGTTGAATGTTGAAGGAAAGTATGAAACTTCACACAGAATAGTTTAAAGCCTTTGAACAAAAGAAAAGAGAATTAGTTTAGGGAACAAGTTTAACTATGATCATACATCAAGTACATTCTCTCCAAGAAAATAATTTTAAAAATCTAGTATCTGTCCACATTAAAGACCTGAATAAAAGCACAATAAAGCAAAGCCCTTTTCAGAGCATGCTAAATTATGCATGATGTTTTGTAGAATTCCTAATTCATGTGTTACACATGCATTCTTTCTATTATGCATTATACTGTTCTCAAAAACAGAGAATTCAATCTAATTATGAATGATGAGACGAGATTTACCTTCTGTTTCTCTTTTTCCCCCACCCACACCCCTCAGTTGTCTGTGCCTTGGCAAGAGAAATTATTAATCTACTAGTAACAAGGAATAGAAACTAATCTTTAGTCCTTTTGCTAACATGGAGGTAGCTTTTCACGTTTGAAAGGTAATTAATTTACTAAACTGAACACAAGGGAAGTTATTGTATGCTGAAGGACAAGTGGGAGTCCATACTAGTAAATCTGACCCGATACCATCTTACTTAAATTTCCAGTACTTTTCAATGAAACTGGGATCTGGAAGTGAAAAGAGTAATAAAGGTGTCCTTGAAAAGACTAATCCATTTGCTGTGGTCCCCCAGATTCTCCACTGGAGAGTCCCGTTATGATTTCATATCTTTTCCATAGCTGTGATAACGGCCTCCCCGCTTCTACTTCTTTCTCATATTCTGAGCTCTTCCTAATGTCCCACCCCCTCCTTTATACCCAGGGAGAGAGGAAGAACAGATAACATTGAGGTTGGGAAGTGGGGAGTGAGAATGTGAAAGGAGCATGCCTGAGCTGGTCCTAGACAGGCCTCCAGCGTCCAGCCTTCTCCAAATACCAAGGGACTCCCAGGCATGCCCAGATGGCACTGCCACATCAAGGATGTTTAATATCAACAATATTGCACTTGGAGAGGCAGTTTAGCAGAATCAGTGATAGTGAACTCTGGAATCAGGCTGCTCAAGTTCAAACACTGACTCTCAAACTCTGCTGTATCTCACCACCTGAGATTCTTCATTGGTATAATTGTAGCATTTCCCTCAAAGAGTGATTCTGAGGATCTGTGTACATAGTGCATATGTGGCACAATGCCAAGCACATAATGAGTTCTTAATAAATATTGGCTATTGTTACTACCTATTGAGCTCCTACTATGTGCCAAGGGTTTTATCTGATTATCCCAAAACTTCCAGAGTAATTATGATGAACTACATGTTATGAAAGAGACTCAGAGAAGTAAATTTTTTACATGCCTCATTAATGACCAGTCAGGGACTGTAGGAGCCCCAACACAAGAGAAGCTCAATCTAGATCATTGCTATATGATTTCAAACTATCCTCATCTGCGTTTTCAGTACCAGAATCAACCAAGGACCATTCCCTCTTCTTGAAGTGAAAGCATGGTATTCCTAAAATAATGACAGCAACTTTGAACATCAGTATTACCATTGTGCCCATTTTACAGTTGAGGAAAACTGAGAAACAAAGAACTCATCTGACTTTCTCCATGACACAGAGTCCCACTCATGCCAGTTTTTCTAACTGCAAACTCCACATTCTACCCATGATACTGCTTTTCCGACTTCTTCTCAAGGGGGATTGATCAGCACTCTCTGAAATTCCCAGATGCTCCCCAAAAAGATTTTTCTAAAAGCCGGCCAAAGTGGACCATAAAAAGAAAAAAAGAAGTACATTCTCCATTTTCTGTTCCCTGAGGTGTAGGGAAAGTGGGTTTCAAATATCCATTGAGGAGTATTTCACCATCTTTCTGCCAAGAGATATTATCAACAAAAGTATTGAATGTCTAGGGAAAATCATGGCCTTTACAAAAGAAGCTTACAAGCTTCTTTTGTAAAGATTAAGACTAGCTATCTTTGCTGCTAAGCTCATTCCTGTTGCAAAGATGTCACCATTAACTTTTCCTACATGTTTGGGAAGAAAAATCTTTGAGAATATTTTCTTTTATGTCTAGCTGACTGAAAAAATAAAAAAAAAAAATAAAAAACTGCAAATGTTACCTTTGCAGCATGAGGGTACAAGGGTCCACCTGGACCTGTGGCTCTCCGAGGAATTGTGGGGCTCTTTTTCATGCAGACAATGCATGAATACCCAGGAATTATGTGACCCCATTGTCAACATCACTGAAACAGGATGCAGTTGCTTGGTGGCCCCCAGAGATCCCGTATGTTGCCACTTGTAAAATGTGCATTGTCACAAGTGTTAAAAAACCACCACTGTCAGTGTTACATGCTTGCATAGGCCTCCATTATATGAGATCTAGGGGTTAAGGGCAAACCAGAATCCAGCACAGCTTCTATACAGACGTTTGAGTTGCCTTTGGCTTCAAGACTGATTACATCCAACAAACAGGGGCCCATAACAGTTAACACCAGTGATTGAGACAGTTCAAGTAAACAGCTCAATTTTGCCTTAACCCTGTATATTTTAAGAGTATGAATTTAGAACTGATACTGGGTTAGAGACAAGATAATAGCATATAGAAAGAACATTACGGGTTGTTCTAGCAACTTCCATCTTAAGTGCTTAGGGAAGGAATCTTCCGAATAGCTTCTTTGACTTCATAGGAGACTTCTCTACCATTTCAAATGCTGGTAAAGAAAGGGGTTGAGGATGCAGGACGAACATTCTTCTTTGGAACAAAGATCCTACAGTTTGCCAGAACATCTTTTGTTCATCCGGGAACCCAATCGCAGGGGCAGGATATCTGGGTGCATCATCTCAACAAAAGCTGTTTTTAGAAACTGTGTTTGCTGTGTATGTGTAGGGCATGTGGAATGGGGGTGAGGGGAGTCTGTCTTATTTTCTCCCCAAGACATTACCTGTGAAATCTGGGACTATAGTGAAGAACTTTATCTCCTCCTCTTTTCATTTCCTTTTTTGTTTGTTTGTTTATACCTCAGCATTGCTAATTTGGATTTTAGAACAGCATGGTGATAGTTTGTGGCTGTGGAGGTATACAATTCCCTTCACCATTTTCTTCTTTCCTTCTATAAGGAAAATCTAATGGAAGTATCATCCATGAAAACTTTATTTAGATGTATGTCTTCCTACCCTGAATACTCTCTTTCTGTAAGGTTACAAACATAATGTTCTATCCCTTCAGGTTCATTTTCCAGCAAATAGCTTTGTTTCTTTCCTTCAAAAACCATGTATAAAAAAGTATTTTATACATGGTTCCATCACTACTATTTTTTTAACACAGCTGTTCCCTTTAACTCTCAATATTATAATGCTAACCAAAGTAGTAGGCACTGGGAGGCACAGATTTTATTATATTCAGTGTTTATGTGTGAAACAACCACAATTTCCATTTAGTTTATAATATACTAGTTTATTATGTGATTATGAAGTTTTGCTTTCTAGTCAAAATACTTAAAGGTTATATTCATCCTCTCTCTCTCTTTTTCTTTCTCAGGCACAGAAATCCTGGATAGAAAGAGCATTTTATAAAAGAGAATGTGTTCACATCATACCCAGCACCAAAGACCCCCATAGGTAAATATATAATCTTATTGTCTCTAATGTATCAAGAATACCCATTGCAGGGGACGATGTCAAAGTAAATATCTTTTGTTGTAGTTGTTATTATTGCCGGACATTTTCAAAGCAATCGTGTGTGTGTGTGTGTGTGTGTGTGTGTGTGTGTGTGTGTATGCCCTATATAACATGCCATATTTATAGTTAATTCTGAATTTAAGAGCCCTCACAGAATAGCAGATATACTGTTGCAGAAGGAACTAATCACTGTATATAACACTGAGCTATATATATATTTTGCTATGGTTACTGGTTCTTCCTTCTAAGCATTTAAAATGCTTAGTTCATATCAACATGCCCCACTCTAGTAAAAAAGATGCTTTAAAAAAAATCCTAGCAAATTACTGATGTGTGACTGCAGAACTTCAGAATTCTTGGCACATTTTTTTGGTACTTCCTTACCTTCCTGAAGATCAACAGTATGTAGGGCAGAAAGCATTTGGAATAAAGTAGCACATCCATGTCTAAAATGCTTTTATAAGCTGGCAATGTAATAAAACAGTTTAAAGTATAGATCATGCCATCATAAAGACTCCTTTATAACCTTGAACAAATCACCTGACTTTCAATGAATTGTTAGTGTTTAATAAATGGTAGTTTCATGTTATATCTATTAATACTAATAATTGTCACAGAGGTAGTAGTAGTGCATGAAGGACATTTTCATTGTCAAAGGAACAAATTTGAACTTTTCAAATATCTCATGAGTATTTTATTCCTTGTTTCTTCAAGAACACTTAACTCTGCAGATTTTTCTTCTTGGAATTGGATATTTGACAGCAAATGTCAATTGGGGAGAGACTAGTTAGGTTGTGACTCATGTATAAGTGAGATTCCTCATCTAAATGTGCATGTTAAAATTCTTCCTTTGAAGCTCTTCAGTATTCTTCGTGTAATACTTGATAGCTGGGAGGAGCAAGAATTAGAAAAATTCTAGAGAACTTTTTTTGTTCATAGGTGTCTTATCCTAAACAATATGCCAAGTGGGAAAGGTGTGGCTGGAGAAGGAAGGATGCATGTTGTAGCTTTTATCACTAAAGCAAAGTGGGGAAAGAAGAGGAGAAAAGGAGATATGTTTGTCATATGGAGCCAGAGTTTGCATTTGCCTAATATAAGAATATAACATAATATAATAATAATTCGACAATTTTACCCAAGAATTGACTGAAATGGGTCAATATGAATGGCAGGTTTCTGCAGCAGTTGCTTATGTGTTCCAATAGTGGCTCACACAAGGGGTTCACTTTAACCTCTTATGTTATAGGTGTTGCTGTGGGCGTCTAATAGGCCAGCATGTCGGACTCACTCCCAGTATCTCTGTGCTTCAGAATGAGAAAAATGAAAGTCGCCTCTCCCGAAATGACATCCAGTCTGAGAAATGGTCCATCAGCAAACACACTCAGCTCAGCCCAACGGATGCATTTGGGACCATTGAGTTCCAAGGAGGTGGCCATTCCAACAAAGCCATGGTAATCAAAAAGCAGCACTCCCCAGGGCAACCTCCTGCCCTGCAGAGGAATGGTGAAGCGCCTGAGATTTAGTCTTCTGGCTTAACCTCAGCCCTGCCACTCTCTGGTGGGGCAACCTGCTCTAATTATCTTCCCCTGGAGGGGGGAATTTTTCCTCCCAGAATTTAGAAAAATAATTAGTATAAGATCAAGCATAGTGATTAGTATTAATAATAAGACAGATATCCTTTTTTTGATTGATCAACAGATATAGATTGTACATTTTAATGGAGTTTGGTGTGATATTTCCACAGCTGCATACAATACACACTGATCAAATTCAACCTCCTTTTAACCAACCCCCACATATACACCCTTCCCAACCTCTAATCACTATTAATCAACCTCTTAATCACCTTTCTACAATCAAGTTGACATTTTTAGTTTCCATGTATGAGACAGAGAACATGCAGCACTTCTCTTTTTGTTTGGCTTATTTTCTATAGCTATCCACTGTTTGTTATATTATTTTCTGTATCTTATCTATTCCAAACTTTTTCTAAATCTTCCCCCTCCCCACCCTTGGGTGGAAAATGTTACCTTTAGGTTTCTGTTTATTCTGCTACTAAAGTAGCAGTTCTCCCTATTCAAAGTAGACACAATCATATCAGCCTATTTCCTTCCGTGTCCTAATAGAGATCTTGTCATCTATACTGAAGGATCTTGTCATCTATACTGAATGCTTTTTGTCCAAGCAGCTGTGTTCAGTAAAGTTCTTAATGGAAAAGTTGCATATGAGAAGAACTTTTTGAAAGAAGTTTCAGAAAATATACAAATTTTACTTTTAACAGTTGTCACTTCTAAATTTCAGCTCTCATCAAAGACCACTCCCTAACATGGCTGACAGATTCTGCAAGGCATAGAATATAGCATATGTTTTGAAAATTCTAGAAATAGTATAGTACAAGCTTGCCTCTGTTAAGAGTTGGCTTAGGGTGGAGTAGTTGGAAGTGGTTTCTCTTAGGCAAGCCATAGAGCTTTTCAAGTTTGAAGAGAAAATTCTGCTGAGAGAAGCACACTACTAAATTCACTAAGAGTCCACTCACATGACTTTCAGTCTAAAAAATGCAATGAGGCCACTTCCCACTTTTTTCTCCCTCTCCTCCCTTCATTTTTCCTCATCCTCCTCTCCTCACTGCAATAATTGATTTACCAAGAGGGGGTAACTGAGCTATTCTCACAGTTTTTCCTTAAGAAAATTAGTTTTGAGCTATCTAGTAAATCAAAGCCAATTTTTGAACTGTATATTGGAAAGAAAAGGATGCTATTGGTAACATCCAGCTGGGTTTGAGGGAAAAAAAGGAATAAGTTAGTCTTATCCTATGTAGAAATAAATAAAAGAAATAGAGACTGCCAACTTTCCCACCCAATCATGGGATGTATTTGCCTACACAAAATTACAAAGGATCCCCAACTTAGAACACTCCTTGTTCACGTTATGGAATTGAGCTTGTGGAATCATGCCTAAAAAGTCATGTAAGTTCTTTCTGTATGAAAAGTGTTGCTTATGAAGAAAGGGCTCATTGAGCAATAATCATTGCAGAGAGGGACACCCAGCGACTTCACAGGTGCTTCAGTGGTGCCTGAAAGCAATGCCATAAGCCCAGAAGGCACATGGTAAGCATCTGGTCATCATCTCCATTGTTAATATCCAAGGTCAAATATGGACACAAATATGTTTGGAGGTTAAGAGTGTTCCTCCAAGGTCAACAGCTTGGAAGACCCATGATGATGCCATTGTCCAAAAATGTGTTGCTCTTTTGGGGACTGACTTCAGATAATTTATAGATCATAAAAGAATGGCAGTCTATATTTTCTCCAAATGATAGTTTTGACAGAAAACTCAAGTACCTAAGAATTACAAGACATAGAGCTCAGTTATGAATAGCTTCTGCCAGTTTTTACAGGTCCAGTTTATTCTCTGAAAGTAAAGCTTACCACCATAAAACTGTCTAGAAGAGTAGAATATTAGTTTAGTAGTGAAGAGTGTAGATCTTGGATTTACATGGTTTAAATTTACCTCACAACCATCCCATAAATGCTGTGTAACAGGGAGAAAGTTACTTAAGTTTTCTTGACCTCAATTATTTATTCTGTCATATAGACTGTTGATATTATCATAAACATTGAGATGACACATGTAAAACATTGACACAGTATCAGACACATAAATATGATGTAAAACTAATTTAGCTACTATTATTATTATCACTATCATTATTTGTCCCAGGCATTGAAAGAAATTGCAAAATCCCTCTGACTAATGCTCATTTGGATGTATGTGTCTCAGTATATTATTTTTAGAAGGTCAAACTATACTTTTTCTGTTAATATTTTTGCATAGGCACATGCCAGTAATCCCAGCAGCTGAGGAGGCTAAGGCAGGAGGATGGCAAGTTCAAAGTCAGCCTCAGTAAAAAGAAAGGTGCTAAGCAACTCAGTGAGATCCTGTCTCTAAATAAAACACAAAATACGGCTGTGGATGTGGCTCAGTGGTCAAGTGCCCCTGAGTTAATCCCCATTAAGCCCCTCCCCCCACCCCAAAAGGAAGTTCTGACTCATAGTCTACTTCTATGATGGATCATAAAATTAGAAGCAACATTGCTTTTCAGCAATAGCCTGGCTCTATCATTTAGTAGTCAAGTGACTTTGTCCAGTTTATTTAGCTTCCCAGTGCAGTAGTTTCCTTATCTGTGAAATGGGGATTGTCATTTCTACTTCCCAGGGCTGTCTACAGGATTAAATGAGTGAATACATGTTCAGCGTGTAGAACATTACCTGATGTTTAAAGATAACTAGGCATCTGCAACTGTTAAAGTTTACTGACTCTATCTAAAAGAGAAGCTTCATAATCAGTTAGAAGAAAATACACAGGCTGAGTTACTCCGGGGTAGACTACTTACCTGGGATGCAGAAGGCCATGAGTTTAATCCCCAGCACCACAAACATACACAAAGATGCATGATCTTGAAGTCAGGCAGAACTGGATATAAACTCTTATTCTTTCACTGTCTCATTGGAAAGTCTTGGTTAAACCATTTAATTCAGTAGAGACTCAAGTTTTTGTTGTTGTTGTTTTGTTTTGTTTTTAAATCTCTAAAACAGTCTTGGTTGCCTTATTTGGTGCTTATGAGAAGTAAAGAGAACATAAAAACCAGATGGTATATAGGGCTATTGCTCAAGATATTTGTGAAAATACTAACTGCTTATGAAAAACTAATGATAGAGTAGTGAAACACCTTCATTTATTTCCTGGGAGTCCAAAGATGTGTTAGAGTATTTCCACAGGAGTAGTTGGTTGCATAAGTCCGCATTCTGATTTCTGTCCTCTGAACACTAGCACTGATTGACTGTCACTGGCAGGAAGCTAGCACTGTGAACACCATCCACCACTGACTGGATATGAGGGGGTCTTTGGTCCCACATATATATTTTGACTGCCATATTCATCAATCTCCTGCATCCACTAATTCCAGCAAAATAGAGCATGACTATGTCACCTGTATCCCCTCTGCTTTATTCCCTGAGCCCCCCAACAATTAAACAGCTCCTGTGGGTGTGCTGTTATGATGGACACAGCCCATCCCTCCTCATCATATAATATCCTTCTGTGTAAGCTTCTTTACCTGTCCTGAAAATGTCTAATGAACTCGAGAGACTCTGAAAAAACTGAAGACTGAAAACCAAATAAGTTTATTAAAATACCCTTCAAAGTATTAATCAAAATACTTTGGCAATTCCTTTCAGAATCTGTAGTATATCATAATCATGAAAATAGCAACTAAAATCTATTGAATATCTACTATATTTCTGGCACTGTGCTTGGTACTTAGCTATGTTTTTTTATGTTTATGACAGGAATATTAGTCTACATGACATAATAACATACTGGGGTCTTAAAGTATTTGTCTGGCTGGGCATGGTGGCACATATATGTAATCTCAGCAGGTCAGGAGGCTGAGGCAGGAGTGTCCTAAGTTTGGAGCCGGCCTTAGCAACTTCGAGAGGTCCTAAGCATCTCAGTAAGACCCTATCCCTATATAAAATATTTAAAAGGGGCTAGGAATGTGTCTCAGTGGTTAAGTGCCTCTGCCTGGGTTCAATCCACAGTACAAAAAACAAAGGTATTTGTCCCATGTCTTATAGGCTGTATGTATATGCTTACATTTAGCACTGGAAGAAGAGTCTAAAGAGGATGAGTGATCTTTCACCAGAAGAGTGAAGACATACAGATATCTGGTTTTGACAGCCCTCCTCAGGCTCCACCTAGTGCTCTAGAACCCAGAGCACATGGTGGTCACATTGGGCAAGGTCAACTAATTAGTGGGCACCAATGTGAAAATGTATGCTTGTGACAGGGAAAGGGGAATCAATCCCCTCTTGCCATGACTGGCAGCCCCAACTCTCAGTGGACTGGTGATCCCCCCTCCCAAGGTCTTTGCACCCCTACCTGAGACAGTCTCAGTGTATGAAGTGGGTAAACTTCCCAGCAAGTTATCCAACAAAGAATTTCAAGATAGCAAGCCTAGAACCATGAACCCCAGGCACTGCCCTTCTGAGCAGTGTGACTATCCTGACTGCACATCTCTGATGCTAATGGAGGTGAGGGTGGCCCAAGGAGGTCCCAGAGGAAGCACTACAAAGGCAGGCCTTTCTCTCTCAGTCTTGATCAACCAAATGAAGACCTATTTTCTTTTCTAAAAAAAAATTTTATTTGCAGGGGGGTTACTCAGAGGCACTCAACCACTGAGCCACATCCTTAGCCCTTTTTTGCATTTTATTTAGAGACAAAAATCTCACTGAGTTGCTTAGCACCTCACTGTTGCTGAGGCTGGCTTTGAACTCCCTATCCTCCTGCCACTGGTATTACAGGCACGCACCACCACACTAAAACGGTTTTTCCTTTTTATTACCACTAAAAATATAATGTGTGAAAGCCCCAACTAATCGTCCAGGCACAG